TGTCAGGGGGGGCTTTTGGCAAACGGGTCTCGGGGATGGGGCTTTTGCGAAGGGAGCGAGCTCGGAGGGGCGGATTGCTAGGGAGCGGGGTCTTGGGAGTGTTTCTAGGGGATCAGACTGTCAGAGATCACATTTTGGGGGAGCAGGATCCTCCAAGTGGGTTTTTTAAAGGAGCACGTTTGCAGGGAGTGGGGTTTGGGGAGTGGGTTTTGGGAAACCTCTTTTGGAGGAGGAGGTTTCTGCAGCCGGGGGGTGCAGTGCCCCTCTCTGGGGCTGTAAAAAGAGCCAGCCCAGCCCTTGGGGGATCTGTGGGCTCAGCTGGCTGAACCTCACCCTCCCCAAACACCCCCTCCCCGGTCTGTTTTAATCGAAGGTGCAAGCCACTCCACGACCCAGCGAGGTTTTTTTGGAGCCGTGCCTCCCCCCGTGCTGCTGGAGGCCATGGTGCCCAGGAGAGGTGACAACAGGAGCGGTTGGCATCCCAGCGTGGCTCTGGGGCTGCGCTCAGCGGGGGTGCGCGGGCTGGGGACCTCTGCACCCCGCTGCCCAGCCATGGGGACGCACCTGAGCACCCCGAGGACCAAAGCTGCTTCCCCAGAGGCACCCGAGTGCCCGGGGATGGTGGTGGTGGTCTGTCGTGCCCCCCTCAGCAGTTGTTCAGGGGAGGGCCCAGCCCTGACGCTGCTGGTGGGACCACTTTCCCAATTTACGGTTTGGGGGATAAATGGAGGGTGGCAGCAGCTCCCGACCGTGGTTTGGGTGTGCGTCTGTCTGTGCCGGGGCGGTGATGGGCAGGATGGTCACTCCGGTGCCTCCGGCCGAGCGATGACTTGGGATATTTCCAACCGGAGGATATGGATGCAGGCACAGCTCGGAGCTGCGAGCGAGCGGCAGGCAGCTGCTGCCGTCGTTAACCCTGCCCTCTCTTTGCTTGAATGGAGATTTAATTATCGCAAAGAGCCAGAGGAATCTGCGTGCCGGGGGCTGCAAGCAAACGCTGCCCACAGCAGGGTGGGGGGCGATGGCCACTCAGCACCTTACACTATCCAGGGCTGGTCCTCACGGGAATAAACTAGTTGGGGAGGCTGAGGCCAGGCAGGGAGAAACGATGTTTTCTGAACCCCCTGCAGCTAATTTGTCTTAGTCTGGCAGCTATTTCGTTAAGTGACACCATCATCCAGAGCCCAGATGTAACCCCTTACCCATGTCCTGGTCTTGAGGCACCCCGTTCCTTGGGCGCAGGGCTTTGGGGGTGGCGGTCCCCACGCGGGGTCCCCTCCCTGCAGAGCCCAGCGTGGCTGGCGTAGCCTTCTGCTGAGAGCAGCCCACCTACGAGGCCGTGCTGGATGAGCTTTGCTGCCTTATCAGATGGGACACAACGGGAACATTTTGTTTTTACTGTTGGAGGAAGAAGAGAGTATTAATTCTAATTAGCCACGGGAGTGCTGGCAGTTACTTTAGCCAGAGGAAAATGCTGGAAGAGATGTTCAAACTCCGCATGACTCCTCTTTGCGGCGCGTGGTTTCTCTGCCTGCTCGACTTGCTGTGCAAAGCAGCTGCCGGTAGCGGCGAGAATGTGGGTCGGGGTCTGCCCCTCGCGCTCCTGTCCATTTACCAGCTTTTGGCACCTCTCGGCAAGAGTTAGGAAAATGGATCCCATCCCTATGTTATGTCGGGAAAGTGGATCCCATCCCTAAGTTATGTCAGGGAAGTCCTGCATACGCTTTCAGCTATGAAAAGCTAGTGGCCAAGAGTAAGGAGAGCTGGATCCATGTTCCCAGTTGTGCTCTCTAGAGCACTAGCAAGTTTTCTGTGAATTAACCATTTGCAAACCCTAAATTTAAAGCGCTTTGGAAATGTTTTCTAAGGAGTCTCATAGTGCCCCGAGGCAGCAGCAGCATTAGACGCATCTTAGAGATGGGGAAATGGCAGCGTAATGGTAGTGGTTGTGTCAAAATGTAAAAAAGAAACTGTGGAGAGCAGGATCTCTGCTCACGTACGTAGTGACTTTTAACACTGAGATTTCATCTTTATTAGTTTTCTGTGATAAGGAAACAATATAAAGAGTGAGCCTTGGCCTCAGCAGGCAAAACTGCATGTTTTTCATACCTCCCCACTGCAATGTAACAGCAGGATGGAGGTGAGATGTGCAGTTTAACCTCTTAAACTCCCTGCCATTGTTTTTGTTGGTTTCATCCTTATGATTTGCAAACTGGAATCAGATTAGCCTTGAAGACTAAAGTATATTTCATCTTGCCCAGTGAAAAAAGTTGCTAAAAGCTTTGGGGATACAGAGTTCAGCCTATGCAGTCTCAGGTGGATGCGGAGTACTTCCATGTAAAGGCTCAGGGAAGGGATGGCTCTTCTCCCCTCCTCCAGGTTTGTAGATAATTGGAGGCAGGAAGAAATAGTAGGTGCTTTAAAGAGTATTTTGCGGAGCAACAAGATGGAAAACAATGTTCTCATTTACAATGTTTTGATGTGGGAAAAAAAACGTCTAGGAAAAGAAGGGGGAGAAAACCACACCTCTTTTTGGCAGTGCTCTGTACAAACGGACAGATTTGGTCCAGGATCACCTGTAAGAAGCGACACCGTTCTGACCTGCGGTGCTTGGGGCTGGAGGATGCGGTGGAGTCCAGCACCCCGGGTGGGATTTGTGTGGCAGCCGGAGAGAAACCCCCCCCCCCCCCAGGCGATGTTTCTGCTCTTCTCCCTGCTCCAGCAAGGTGCCGTTGCCCATGGAGGGCACTACTGACCCGGTGCCCCTCACGCCCTGAGCCGGGGAGCCGGGGCATCTCCGTCCACCCAAAGCATCGCTGCTCACCCGCGGGGCCATTACACCTTCTCGGGGCACAGCAGGTTTTTGGGGACCAGGGCTGTGGTGGGGGGGGTCGAGGGGCACCCCAGGCTCAATCGCTCGCAGCCCCCAGCCTTGCGAGCGATTGATAGGACGAGGGGTAACGGCTTCGAACTGGAAGGGGGCAGGTTTAGACTGGGTGTGAGGAAGAAGTTCTTCGCCGTGAGGAACAACTGGGACAGGTTTCCCAGAGAGGTTGCGGCTGCCCCATCCCTGGAAGCGTTCAGGTTGGACGGGGCTTTGAGCAACCTGGTCTAGTGGAAGGTGTCCCTGCCCATGGCGGTGGGGCTGGAAGTAGATGATCCTTAAAGTCCCCTTCCAACCCAACCCATCCAAGGCTTCTCTAATGCCATGATTTGGGTCAGGGATGGAAGCGGGCTAGGGATGGGGACAGGGACGCGTGTTTTGGATCCGCCGGGTGGGCAGCAGCTTTCCCTCAGGACTGAGGGATCCAGCCCGGCCGAGGAGTCCTGCGGGGCTCCAGCTGAACGCCAGCACCCACGGCCACCGGCAGGACCCTCGGCCAGGCCGGCTCCTTGCACTGCCCGCACCCGCCTCACGAGCCCCGCGGGATCGGGGGGGGTGCCCCGAAAACCCAGCCCAGGCCTCGTCGCTGCCCCTGCGAGCCCCGAACTGGGCGTCAGACTGACTAAGGGCTCCGTCCTTCCTCATCGTCGTCCGCCCCCCCGGCCCCAAGGCAGACCCTCCCCGGAGGAGCGGTGAGCGGCCGTTAAGCTTCAGCGCCGGCCGGGCTGAGGGAAAAGGCGGCGGCGCCGCCATTACAGGTCGCGCAGTGACACCTAGTGTGAGCGGGAGGGCGGCGCGGCGGGGCCGGTGTGGGCACGGACAGACCGACACGGGCAGAACGACACGGACAGACCGACGGACACGGGCAGACGGACGGGACCGCTCCGTGCAGCCCCCTTCTCCCGCCATTTCTCCTGCACGAGGGCAGAAGCCCGATTTGTAGCCTGAGGGGAGCGCCTACCTCGGGCTTGGCTGGTGACCGCCAAAACTCCCCTCACCTCCGTGTCCTTTCAGCTTCCCGGCACTGACCGAACAAGGCGTGATACTGGACTTAAAGCTAACACAGGAGAAAAAAAAAAAACCACCAGAGAAGGCAAATGCAGGTGGCCTCTTCAACACTGTGATGTTTGAGGGGAGCGCAAGGTGAAGTGGGGAGTCGCCGTCAAGTTTAACTCGCTCAGCTGGAGGGTTTCAGAAAGTCCTCGTAGCCACGCAGGTTGTGAGGAGAGGTGTCCCCAGCCACGCGTGGGGTTTTACTTCTCGCCTTTTCCCTTGGCATCAACAACTCTCCCGAGGTGCTGGCAGAGCGGCGGAGGGTGAGGGCTCGGCCATGCCCCGTAGGGCAACGTGAGGTGAAGTGAGCTGACATTTATGCTCTGAGCCTAACAGATGAGTTTCAGGAGAGACGGTGGCTGTCTTGTCTTCTTCTGTTCTTGTTTCATGCACTTCATCTTCAGATGCATCCTTACTCAGGATCTTGGTTGTGATGAATGTTGCGTGACCGTGACATTTTATTCTCTGGCTGCCAAGACATTTTATTCTCTTGCTGCAGCCCAGCTGATGGGGGGGGTCTCCCACTGAGTGGGGTGCAGCCGATACCAACGCTGCATTTTGTCATCACTCGACACTCATAAAAGTTTCCCCAAGCTTGTGACACAGCCAGCACCAAGCTCTCCCGAGACGAGCGCCTGCGAAGAGCCCCTACGTACTGGTCCTCGAGGTGCCAACGCAGCGCAGGGTGCCTTCTTGTCCCTGGGTAATTAATGTAGGTGTGCATCCTGCTTTTTGCAGGTAACACCGAGGAACCACCAAATGCAATCACAAAGGGCTGCCCGGGCCCCTCCACAGCCGTGGGTATTCATATCATTCTTTATCTCCCACCCCCAGAAAGATCAAGCTTTTCCGTGCCTGACAGTGCGTATCAGTGCTAACCTTCTGGGGTGAGTGGGATGGGACCCCCCCCCCAAGAAGGCTCACAGTGTGGCTCTTCTTCAGGAGTTTCCAGGAGGGGAAAAATACTTAATTTGTTCTGATGCTTCTTTGGAGACTCAGCGCAGGGAAGTGATGGGGAAGGCAGGGGCACTCCTGTGTGGGGCTGTCGTTAGCAGAGGCACCGGCTCTGCAGGGAGGGATGCTGGAGGAGAGGCGGCTGCTCCTCTGCAGAAGGGAGCTCCAGCTCAGCCGGGGACAGGGGTGCTTCTGCATCCCCAGCTTGGGGACCACTGAGGGCCACCAAGGAGCCCAGCCTGTTTTCCAGGTCATAGTCGGCTTAGGGTACACTGGCACAGCTGAGATTCTCGGTTAGATGGGTTAAATGTCACCGTGGCTTCCCCTGCACCAAAAAAACACTTTGGAGGTTGGTCACTATCCAGGCTAGCAGGTTGTGTTTATCTTGGTCTAACTCTGTACAGCTGGGACTTGACTTGACAAAACCACATGCCTATGGATACTGGAGGTAGTATATGCCTTGTTTATTAGCATAAAGCTTTAGGATAGGGGAAGAGAAGATTTGGGGCCATGTGGAGGAGAAGGCAGGAGGGACTTGGGGACAGTCCTATA